CCCCGCCCCCATCCCATCCCATCCTATCCCATCCCCAGTATGCAGGCATTAACATCGGTCCGGTCCACAAGAAAGATGTTATGAAGGCTTCAGTGATGCTGGAACACGACCCGCAGTAAGTGGTTTCTCTTTTGCTACGCGGACTCTCGTGTAGCTGCCTGTTCTTTGAACTTCCCTGTATGACATACTCCGCTTCTCACTGGCTGCTCTCTGATGTGCTCTGACCTTCCAGGTACGCAGTCATCTTGGCCTTTGATGTGAGAATTGAACGGGATGCACAAGAAATGGCTGATAGTTTAGGAGTTAGAATTTTTAGTGCAGAAATTATTTATCACTTATTTGATGCCTTTACAAAATATAGACAAGACTACAAAAAACAGAAACAAGAAGAATTTAAGTAAGTTGGTGATTTTACTTACTTTGGGTCTTTGGTGGCGAAGCCGATGATTGGAGACTTATCCAATACCAGAAAGGTATGCAGACAAGAGGCATGGATGGCATCCTCCAGAGGTTGTGTCCTAAAGTGGTGTGTTACACACCCAAGTCCTGCCCACCCGAGACCAGCAGTCCGGGGACATATCCTTTCTGGGTTTTTTGTTTTGTTTTGTTTTGTTTTTTGCCATTTAAAATTTGGCAGACCTAGGTCTCATTCATAAGTGAGTGGCTACATTTGGGGCCGCCTTCTTGCTTTAGTTACTTATTTGACTGGCATGGAATGGAAGTAAAATTAGAGTGGGGAAAAGTAGGAAGCGAGGTGAGGTGAGGCATTCTGTGGAGGAAAGCTCACTTCTCCAGCAGACTGCCAAGCGCCTGGTGGAAGTGGCATAGCACAGGCGCTGGAGGCGTCACTAGTGGCCCCAAGCAGGTCCCCTCCTCTTGGAGCTCAGGGGACAGACAGGTAATGACCACATGAGAAGTGGGGTACATGCTTAAAAGCAAAATAAGGCAGGGAGGGGCCTCAAGAAAGAGGGAGCTGTGGGGAGGCAGCTCATTTGTGTGATCTGAAGGGATGAAGTGAGCTTGCTAGACATGGGAGTGCCTGGGCAGGAGGACAGCACCAGGAGACCATCCTCACATAGTGACCTTGGGGAGGGTGAGAGGAGGGAGCTGAATTGGCGGGCCCCAGATGGTGCAGGACCCGGTGGCTTGTTGGGGTTGAGACCCAGTAAGGAGGCTCCTGCAGCCCAGGCGTGGTGTGGCTTAGACCACAGTGGCCATAGGGAGTGATGGCTCAGTCTGGCCATGTTTGTAAAGTAGGACTGACTGGTCAGTATCAGGGATTAGACTGGGACGTGCTCACTTTCGGTCGTGAAACCAAAGGGAGAATTTGGTGAGGAAGACAGCTGCGAACTGGGGAAGCACTTTAAGCACGTGCTCAATACACAGGGGCACAGTGGACTTAGAGATCAACCAGGTTGAAACATGGTAGAACAAAGGGGGGCATGGTGCTGCGTGGTCCCCAGAACAGACTACACCTATGCCACACCCGGCAGTAGGTGCCACCGAAGCTCTGGTTTCTGTACCTATGGACAGGGCTCAGCCCATTAGTCTGGGCACCAAGTGCTCCTTTGATACAGCTTCTTTAAGACTTGGGATGTACCTGGATGGACAGATGGAGGGGCGAGGAAGACCTTTATCCAATGGGAGAAGCAGCCTCATATTCATTTGCATTTGTTTTATACTTTTAAGTGATTTTGTAAGCTTAAAAATTCTCTCCCTTTTAGGCATATAGCGGTATTTCCCTGCAAGATCAAAATTCTCCCGCAATATATTTTCAATTCCCGAGACCCCATAGTGATGGGCGTGACTGTGGAAGCAGGCCAGGTGAAACAGGGGACCCCCATGTGTGTCCCTAGCAAAAACGTAAGTGTGAGTGGTGCTTCAATGAAAAGTACTTTTAGAATGGTGACAAAAACTTAAACCAAACAGTGTTTGTCACAAATTTATACCTCAGTCTTGGTAAACATCAGCATTCCTTAATCACTGTTGAGTCTTAACACGTGGTACCAGTGCCTCAGTTAACGAAAATCGTAATTTACAGTGGTCGTTCGCATTTCACCAACTGTCCCCAAAATGGCTTTCATAATTAGACTTGCTAACCTGGTCTAGCACCCCTTCCAGGCGCAGTGTCTTTGGCTGTTGCATGTGTCAGTCTCAATCAGGCACGAGCTCCCATCCTTTTTGAAGGGTACAGACCATTGTTTCACAGATTATTTCACAGCTCGGATTTGTCTGATTGTTTCCCCATGACTAAATACAAGTTTAAGTTATTGGAAATGGTCCTACACTCTGTTGTCCCCTGTGCCTCATGCATGTCACACAGGCCATGTGTTGGGATGCCAGGAGCTCAGCACCTGCATCAGGTACACACACCTTCCCTTTGTAATTACTAAGTAGTCTCCCGGGTACTTTGAGTCGCTGTGTGAATCTTATGTTTCTCAGCTTTATTCCAGAATCTTTATTAACCATTAAAATCTTTGCATAAATCAGTTACTACGTAAGTGGTTGCACAATCGAGATCACCTCGCACTTCTGCAAAGAACCTTCGTCTCCTGAACTTTTTCATTAAGTAGCTATACATTCAGTTCCGATGTTAAAAATGTGCTGTTATAATCCAGTACCAGTATTTCTGATAGCCAAACCAACTAGTTTGGTCCATGGGAGCCCATTCAAGCTGGCTACTATGTCCTCGCCCCATGCACTTTGAGCGTTTTCTTCCTTTCTGGTACAGCAAGATGCCCCGGGCTTGCCTCTTATGTTCCCTGCCCAGAAACTGATTCCTTTAGGGCTAAATGGCACTTGGAGTCACTGCTCCTTTGCCATCTTAGTGGACATTGCTGGGACACTTGTAATACTTATCTATGTTATGGCTTTAGCCAAACCAAACTCCAGGCAGGAAGCAGAGGGTTCCCCCCTACTCCAAGCTGTAACAGAATAGGTGGTTCATAACTCATTTGGAATGAAAGGTGAGGTTCTTGCCACGGGCCCCACTGCTGCCCCCATTGCTGACCATACCAGCCTTCTAAGCTCACTCCTTGTGGAGAACATTTGTGCCTGCCATTTCCTTTCATTGTGGCACCTGGCATATGAAAGGCTGGAGTGGAAACGACAGTGTTGGGCTGGCAGAGCACCTTCAGGTTTCCCAAAGCACTATACCCTCCTTCTGTCCGCACACCACCTTGTGAGGGGCAGAGGGGACACAGTGGAGTAATCCCTAGTTTGTCGATGGCAACACCCCCTGCAATCATGGAGGGTCACGAAGTCAAGGCTTAAAGACTAGCCCTTCTGCTAATTTTAGCTCAGCTGTCCAGCTGGGGCGCCTGTGATGGCCAGGCTTCCTGTGCTTTACATTGTAGTTTCTGTTCTTATCGTTTAGTTTGTCGACATTGGGATAGTAACAAGCATTGAAATAAACCATAAACAAGTGGATGTTGCAAAAAAAGGACAAGAAGTCTGTGTCAAAATAGAACCTATTCCTGGTGAATCTCCCAAAATGTACGGAAGACACTTCGAAGCTACAGACATTCTCGTCAGTAAGGTAAGTCTCCACCAGGGTGGCCTGTGAGAGGAGGGGAAGTCGGCTGTGCTCACCTGGACCCAGTGGCTCAAGTTTGAACTTTCAGCATCTGATGGGGCCAAATCCTTCCTCAGGGATTGGTCCGTAGTATGGCCTCGTCTCTGAGGCAGAGTGCCCTTCCAGGTTCTCTTCTGCTGGTTTCGCCCATAGCTGTGGAGGAAGGCTGGCAGCACCGCCGTGCTTTCCACCTGAGCTTTCTTTGCAGTAACATCTGGCCACCCGCTCTTCTTAGGCACTTGGTTACATTGTCTCATCTGCCCTGTTTGTGCTCACAGATCAGCCGGCAGTCCATCGATGCCCTCAAAGACTGGTTCCGAGACGAGATGCAGAAGAGTGACTGGCAGCTTATTGTGGAGCTGAAGAAAGTGTTCGAAATCATCTAATTTTTCCACGTGGGGCAGGAATTGGAATAAACGCAAGAAAAACGAGACAAAAATGGAATGGACGTATCTGGACACTAATGCACTTAAGTATGGAAGGAAAAAAATAGATGTATAAATGTTTTCCATGAGAAACCAAGAAACTTACACTGGTTTGACAGTGGTCGATTACATGTCCCCACGGTTCCAATGTGCCTGTTCACTCGCCCACTCCTTCCCCAATCCTGTACTGGCTGCTGTTTTAAAGTTTGCCCTTCCCCAAATTTGGATTTTTATTACAGACCTAAAGCTCTTTCAATTTTATACTGATTAAATCAGTACTGCAGTATTTGATTAACCAAGCTTCTGCAGATTTTGTGATTCTTGGGATTTTTTTGATGTAAGAAATACTTTGTGCATATCCTTCCCACGGTGATTTTTTTTCCTGCCATTCTTCTGCCAATAGGCCCTTAGGAATTTTTTTAAATAGAAAATTAGGCATTCTATTTATCTTTTGTGAAACTATGGTATAAAGCCGGGCTGACTGCTGCTTTCTGCTTGTCTGAGTCCGTGGTAGTCAGTACCAGCTGCCTATGCGTCCTGCCAGGCTTCCAGCTCAGCGCAGCTTCTCCCCAGGTCATCAGCTCTTAAGGACAAGAATTATTTTATTAACTATTCCACCATGTGCAGCAGCACGTTAACGTGAGGAATTTTTATATACCAATCTTAATCTAGAAAATCCTATCATGCATACATTTTTTGATGAGGCACTCAACAGGGAATTGATTATTTGAGCGTAGTGCTTCTGAATTGTTGCAGAGACGTCATAATGGCTTATCCACATTAGTAATCGGACTATAGCTCATTTTATGGTTTCCCACATGAGGACAGTCCTCTCCCCAGTTGAAGACATCTATTAGTGTTACTTTAATTCCTATGCCAGATCTCTAGTATCTACCTATTTATAGCACAGTGTCAAATGAAGTAAAAATGTGGGGTGTTTGAAGAAAATGTTCCCAAGTATTCACTGGCATAGAATTATAAACTACTTTTAAAGTGTTATGGCATAACATATACAGCATAAAAATACTTTATATACATCTGAAAATCTGTGCCATTCATTACTGCAGTTTCTCAAGGGCCAACAGAGGCAAGGAAAACACCTCTACACCATCTGGGATGTAACTTTCCCAGGAAAAAAACGTAGTCTTCAATCGTGTGTTGTGTGTTCTAATTCAAAACATGTAAATTCCTCCACTTAGAAGTAAAGATTTTCTTAACATGCTCCAGTGTTCATGCTTGGGGACAGGAGTGACAATGTTGGTTAGAAGCTTTACCCGGGCTTGGAAGCAGCAGAGCTCCAGGCCGGGACCTCCACGAACTGGAAAGCTTAGCACGAGGCCTACAATAGCCTGGCTTGATCTTTTAGCCTGCAAGTATAATAAACAGTTCAGGATTCATTTCCTAAAGGATTCACAAAAAGGAACCTGTACAAAATATACATACAGTTCTTTATTAAACAACTGTAAACACTTCACTGTAAAAATCCATAAAACTTTATAAACAAACATTTTGTAAATAGAATCTATACTACAGTAAAAGAATTAACACAATTATTTACATGCAATACTGACAAATTTGGCACTTATTGAAAAAAAATATACAAAACACTTGCTCAAAAAGAAATTTAAAATTATAAAACCTCGGAGCATCACTACCATGCACTTTGCAAATACCTCACAAGCACTTGTGGCACAGTGAGCAGGGAGTGCCGAGCTCCCGGGGTATTTATGTGACTTTTAAGGTGCTCCCATAAGTCTGCTGTAGAACCACCTGAACGTTGTCAAGAATAAAGTCGAATGCCATGTTCCAGACTGACTCCACCGACTGCTGCATCAACCTGCAGGTGTGAGAGAGGTCAGGCGGCTGACGATTCCTTCAAGAACCAGTTTAACAGCTTTAGGGTTTTAACATTTTTATGTAAGAATCAAAAATCGATTCTGACAACCCATACTCTAGAACACCTGAAAGCACTTCCTAGGTTCTAAACTACACCACTGAGGGAGCACCACCCAGTCAGTGTCATGGCATTTCTCTCTCTGGGGTCAAAGTGAAGGGCGCCCTTTTCATGAGCCCGGAGAAACACAGTTCACGGAACACTCAGCGCCTCGCCCCCCTTGATTAGCTGTGTGACAGGCCACAGATACCTTTTCATGTACTTTATAACCAGGTCCAGTTTTTCCAAATCCTTCTCCTCTATCAGGTCGGTACAGTATTTCACGACTTGTAGAATGTCTTCTTCCATTGGATCTAGAAAGGAAAATGCAAATGAGAACCAGCCAATGATGTAGGAGAAAGCTACAGTGTTAAAGGAAAGTGCATTTCTGCAACCACACACATGACTAGGCTGTGCAAGGGACTTTTCACAGCCAGCCTGAGTATAAAAGGTTAGGGAGTGGCTGGTTTAAGCCTATTAGGTTGAGAAAAATGAGATCTATGCAGTCGAGTCCATTCATGCTGTGTTTGTGCCTAGCTACCGCTGTGCCAGCCCACCTGAGATGGTGGTTATCCACTCTCTGAGCAAGGCCTTCACATCACTGAACTCAACAGCACCAGCCAGGCTGGGTGCTGGGGGTCTGGTACAGGAAGACGGCTCAGGCTGTGGCCCAGACAGGCCTGACACACCTGCGATGGAGGCCGAGTGTTCACCCTGATAAGAAAACATGATAAAGTGTCACATTTACATAACATCAAGATCTGATGAGAGATCAAAGTTTAAGAAGCATTAGAAAATATTACCAGAGGTTTCTCAGGAACAGGACCTTCGTGTTTCAGAAACCCATCCATCAGCTTCTGGGGATTCCCGTAGGCCCCTGGCACGGTTTTTATAGGACTACTGAGCAGCTTGTTTTTCAGAGGACTCTGAATCTTCTTGGGGGAACTGATGGGGTTTTTTTTCCTGTTTCGTTTTGTTTCTTTTACTGCTGCTGGTTTTAGCTGAAGTAAGGGATTCTTTGGCACTAAAAGATGAACGTAAGACACTCAACCAATGTGTCTGCCTAGTAGGACGGTTCTCTTTCCCCTAACACACGCAGACCCTAACAAGGCCTCTTGCTAAGACTGGCGGCAGCTCATGAATGCAGGCCCTCCATCACCTAGTCTATATTCTGCCACTCACTGATCTGACCTCGCAGGGGCTGCACAGAAGGGTTACATGAACCGCAGCAGGTGAAGCATAAGCACTCGACTCAGCAGGCTGTGCCCTGTTTTCATAATAGATGTGTTTGTGACCCACGGTCAGAAACCTTCAGGTAGTTTTAAATGTATGTCCTTTGATATATCAGTCTCAAAGGACAATGGCCTTGACAAGTATTTAAAAAGATTTCTGGTAATAAAGTAAAAAAAAAAAAAAAATGGTGTTCTTAAGTAGTTACAGATACAACCTGCACTAGGCCTGTAACGGACCCACACTGTACACCTGTTCTGTCCCCCGATCCGAAGGGCTCTTCACATGACAGCTCAGACTTGGCTATTACCTAAGACAGTAATCACGCACAACTACAATGCCATTTCTTTTATTACTGGCTACATGTCACCTCCAGGGCTTACCGGCTGCGCTGGCTGGCTGCTGGGGCGCAGCCTCTCCCTGCCGCTGTCTTTGCTCGTATGCTGCATTCAGCTCCATCTGAAGCTCAGGAGGAAGGGCCGCGAACACCTCAGGGTCCACCTGGTGGGAAAGAGAAAGTTCAAGTCACACCCAAGTAGATTCTCATCGCAGCTGGATTATATTCACAAAACGGATTTTGTTTTCAAATCAAACTTCTCTGATATGTATGAAATCCTATTAGGTCCTCAATATCAGGGCTCACTCATTAAATCCTCACGAGGTTTTAGAATGAGAATAAGGAATAAAATTTTGAGTATGAAAAAAACAAAACAAAACAAAACCCAAGGTAAGAAGCACCCAAGAAAGTCAGGCTCATGTATAATGTTTTTTAAAATGCCACACTAAGACTAGAGTCCCCAGTGTATGATCAGGTTTCCCCCACCGTCACTCAAATATTGCCCATTGGTCTCTGGCCAGTGATACACAAGCCAGGTGTGTATATCTGCTTGTCTGCTAGGTGGAAGCGCCCACACACCACAGCCTCAGGAGACACTGCTGCCAGTCTCTGTCCTCGAGGTGGCAAGCCAGGACCCCCTGTCCCCCAATGCATAGGGTGTGGACTACAATGAGTTCAGGTGCAAAGGGGCCAACACGCTCTGAGTTGGAAGGACAGGGAGCATGTTGAAACTGATGGAAGGCCCTAACCTCGCCTCACCTGTGACAATGCTGGGAGGGCTATGACATTAATCCCCGAGTCACTGTCAGATTCTTGAGGTTCTGGTATTTGTAACAAAACTGTCCCAACTGGTTGCGGCAAAATTCCTGTACTGCAGCCATTTAGCGGTTGGTTCTTCCTGTCACTGTGCAGCTCTCCTTGCTGTGCAGCACAGGCATGCTCCACCTGTTCCCGGAGGTCGGGTGGAAGTGCTTCCAGAACAGACTGGTCAAGCTGCAAGTACACACATGGAGTCTGCAGTTATGCCATGATCCGGGATGATGTACTAGAGCATTCATGTGGCACTGAGTATGGCTAACTAGGCCAGGAAAGCACCCCCAAAACCAGCACAAGTTTTGGAATATCCCGGCCTTTTGCCACTGAAACCTGAAGCCCAAATACACTCACTGACTCTCCTGCAAGAGGAGCAGACAGACACGAAGAGCCTTTGTTAAGCCCCAATCTCAGACCCTACCCATGGGCAGGGGCCACACTAAGGCAGATGTCCAATTTCTGGGTCAGAATTTTACATAGTGCTACTTAGTGCAGCAGAGAAGTCGACTTTTCCAGTATAGCTTAAAGTGCTCTCCTAGGCTTCCAAGAAGTAAAAATTCCAACAGTATGCCATCTACAGCCTACACCAACCAAATGAATAGCTTATGCTGGGACAGTCATCCACTACAGAGAACTGTTTGTAGATGCTGCGAGAAAACCTTTGACATAAGGCCTTTGCTAATAATGACCACCAAAGCTGCATGCAGAACAGAGTATGTATGTGCATGTGATCACTATCACAAAGAGGTAAAGTGGCTATGATAGTGGCAGTCTATGGAACCGGCTTTCATCTATATTTTACAACTTGCAAAAGTTGCAACACCACAGTGCTGGGGAAAGATCAGTAGTTCAATTTTGGAGACATTAGAAACATTTCTGCTTAGAGATTTTTTAAGTAGACAACTAAACATGAATTTGAAAATACATATATGCATATATGCATTTATAAATTAAAGACCATACTATACAAAAAGTTGCAAATCTCTAAAAAGCACAATCTTTCACCTAAACTGATTATTTCTCATTCAGAATTTAGTAATATCATGAGCCACCCTAAAAAGTCACTTTTTCTCTCTTTCTTGACTATATTGAAAAAGAGATTAAAAATGTCATTCTTACCCCACACTTCCATACTTAAACTGTTGTTTAGAACCAAGAGATACCTGGGAAGGTGATGGGACCTCTACGCTCAGGTCAAGTCTCGACTTTAACCTGATGGGAGAACGCAGACCGTTCCATCTCCCTGAAGACTCGACTTTGCCAGTAACAGGACTGATGCCTGACGTCAGATGTGTGGAGAAAGATGGCAAGAAAGTGCAGGTTTTAGAAGCAGATGATAATTCCAGGTCCACGGCAGCCAGAAATACTGAAAGTATAGAAAATACATAAAATAGCCTCTTCAGATCATCTGGAGAAGTAGGGGCACTTTAATTCAACACACTTTATTACTGTTCACCAGAAATCAGATACTTTGTTTCTTAAAAGGTCACGTGTAGCCAGGCCAGACCACTTTTAACTTGCCTAAGGATACAAAAGGCACCAAAACAAGAACCACGCTGAGACAACCAACCTTCCTTGTGCTCCTCTTCTGTGGATTTCTTCGCTTTCTGGACTTGGAAGAGATCGAGGACAGAGTGTGACCCACCAGGAAAGTGGCCTGGATGAGCTGACGGGCGACTGGGGCATGTGGGAGGCTTTGGGATAGCTGGGACTAACTGGTTCACTTGAATCCCAACCTAGAACCAGAAGAAAGAACATGTTTCTAGGAAAACTAGAGTGAAATATGTATTCAACTGAGCAAAATTCTCAGCAAACCCTCCTTTTATATCTTCTAAATCCTGTTTCTAGGATACAAGGTTAAATGGAAGTATGCAAACAGCTTTGTACATGATTTTATTACCAAATAACTTCGACACTAGCTAGTGAGCAGTTAGTCCCCTCAATCTGCAAATATTTGATTCTACCCAAACGAACCTCAATCTCTTCAAAATCAGAAAGTCCCAGAAAGTGGGTGCTGTCCCCACTGGAGTTCCAGCCAGCTACATTTTGAAATAAGATTTGAAAAAATTTACATAGAGCACCATCTATATACAACCTTATTTCATATAAAATAAATGACATTAAAAAATGGACGTGGGGTTTGGAGGGCAGTAGCACCCTGCAGGCATCTGTGCAACAGCCACCCTGCCCCTACCAAAGCCTGTTAGAACAGTGCTGCTGGGAGTTTAATCATGGCCGCCTCAGCAGCTGCTCGATCCTTCTGCAAAACCCACACCAAGCCAAGTAACTACCCCTTACTCAGGTGTGTGTGCACACAATTCAAATGACCAAAGTTTCAAGAAAATTAAGGTTTTCACGTGTTCAAAGCCCTCCCATCTATCTGTTCCAAAGGCATCTTCCCATGCCTGTGGTAAGCTCTCTCACCCAGCCAGGCCGCCTTTTGTCAGACACCAGAATAAACTTCTGATTAAAAAAGACCTTATAGAGGGACAAGAACCTGCAGCTGCCCTGTCTCTCCCAGTTCCATCTACTTCTAAACGAACGTGAATAGGAAGCAAGATAATGCATATAAAGTCAGTCCTTAATTTTTAAAAAGGTGTTGTAAAAACTCAAGATACAAAATTATTAATCTAGGCAGACAGCAAAGAGCTTTCAGAACAAATCTGACTCTTCTCTGAAAAATAAGGAGATCAGGTCAGATGAGAAAGTCACGAGTTTTTCAGTTTCTATTCTGCTTGTATTCTATCAAAGGACCTGAAACCTGCAAATAAACCCCTACACCCGACCACAATCATTCTCAGATCAAACCTCAAATGAAAAACAGTATTACAGAAAGGATTTTAAAATGTTATATACTTACCCCTCTCATATCCGATATATTTAGTTTCATTGTATGAAACATGTTTAGTGTAGCCTTTCCAATTATTTTTGCACTATCTGTTGCCTGGTCAAGAGTTACGGTCCTGTAAGTGGTAGAATTAACTTTTTAAAAGGAACAAAAGCTACATTCCATATGTATTCACCAGTATCTAAGTAGTACTGAACTGTTTAAAGAGTCAGAGAAAAATTGCAAAGCTATAAAAAATTTAAGTAAGTTCTAAATATAATCCTTAAAAATGAATGAGATATAGTCTTCCTTCAAGGAAGCCAGTAATACCTAATTAATTAATTATGTTGGCAGCAAGGGGAAAAGAAAAATCATATAGAACATGGAGATTTTAAGATAAAAATTAATGGAAACCTGGTCAACTAAAAATAAATTGGAACTTTTTAAAAATATATATATTTTAGTTAATGCATATACAAATATAAGCATATTGTGTTGCAACTAAAGCATGAATGCTAAAGTACAATATTTTAGGTCCAAGATTATCAATGTTGGTTGAGGTGCGGCTGATATTCAGAAAAGAGAGATGAAGCCCCTGCATTTTGATTCTTGACTCCACTTTCACTATGTTGGAGGCAAAGCCTTCAAAAATTTTAACATGTGAATATGCTCATTACAATTCTACCTTTTCTCAGAGGTTCTGTAAGTAGATAAAGAGATGTGTGGGCAGCTCTGACGAAGGAGAAGTCAGTGCCTTGCCTACCCACGGAGACTGGAACACACAGTTCTTAGATCCTTAGGGACCCAGGAGGAGGGCTGAGCATCCCCAGCACTGCTAGGTGCCACAACGGCATTGACTGTATTTATCTTTTCAGGACCACGAAGACACTACGTACTAAAGTGCCTGTTTTTTAAAGAAAACCATTTGCAAAATATTTCCACTGATTTGTTACCAAATAATTACCTTCAATTTATTTCACATAGGTGAAATACAGAATAACTTAAAAGATTTTGGTAGACCACAGTGGCTTAAACGTGTTTATCTTCATTTCTTTCCAAAACATCAATAAACTGACTTGAAATGATTTTTAAAAGGTGAAACTCTTAAAATAGAAATGGGAGAAGAGACAGGAGGAGAGGAATTTAAAACAATGAAAGCAGCTCAGAAAGTAGCAGGCTGCCAAATGTCTACCAGAAGCCAACAGCAAGGCGCCCGCTTGAGACAAGCCACTTGATGCCACAAAGCCTCAGGGAGCTCAGTCACTAGGGGTGCCAGGTGTCTCTGGGGGGACAAGAGAGGACGGGCTGAATTTGTGAAGGGGCAACAGTCTCAGATGTTCCCCCACCCCGGTGAAGACTTGCCACAGCCCAGTGAAGAGATGCCACGGGGTACATGCACGGCTAAGGGAAGGTGAGGCACCTCCGTCAAGAGACACTTCCCCGCCAGGACCTCTTTCCCAGCAAATCACCAGAATGCACCTTGTCACCCACCCTGTAGGCAAGCCTAACAGAAAAGACAGCAGGTCCCACCATTGGGCCGTGGTGACCAAGCTGTAGCGAGCCCTCCGACTGCTGCCCACGGTGGTGCCCAGTAGTCCACACGTCCCACTGAGAACCTGGAGATTCCACAACATCTTGGCTGTTCACATGGGAAGGGACAGCCCAGAACCATCAGACAGATAACTACATGAAGAGGACCTCTAATATAAAAGACAGCAACCAAACAGGAAAGGAGGCACTCGGAGGGAAAGCTTGACTCCGGGACTAGAAGAATATTTAAGAGATAAGAGCGAGAACCGCGTCTGTGAAATGAGACACTTAAACGTCCAAGAATAAAACAAAACACTCAAATTTAAAATGTTGCTAGAAACAAAAAATTTAATACTGACAGAGTACCCAGCACAAACACGAAGACCAAAACGCTCAAACTCCAGAACCCCTGAGGTAAGATAAGGTCCTGAGGTTAGGAGAGAATGCAGAGACCCGACACCAACAGGCAGGCAGGCAGAGGGCACGACCTTCTTGATGTGATCTCGAGAGACATGGCCACGGAGCCACTGGGTGTCTGAGGAAATGACTTCTAGCTCTAAGTCACATTCATAACCTCTGAGTCAGCACAGCTGTCGTGCATGAGAGTAGAAATGCAGGCTTGAAAAACACCACCCTGTACTCCTCCTCAGGGACAACGAGCAAGGTGACAGGCCAGTGTTACCCGGGGGCCCTACACCCACCCAGACCAGAGCAGCGGAGTGGCAGCCGGCCTGACAGAGTAAGGTCTTCAAGAAAAAAGGTCAAACCAATGGGCTGTGATGGGCTGAAATGTACCGGGCCGGGGTGAGGGGGCGGGCGCGGGGAGCAAACTCTGTCAAAGTCACAAAAAAGCAAACAAGCAAAACAAGACAGTCAGTAAATCCAGGAAAAACCAGTCCCACAGGAATAGAGCTGGGCCACAGGGGACAGTGTGGGTCGCCCCACACAGTGCACACATGGCTGTCATACCAACACCAGACAGGGCCTGAGCTAAAAACTAATGGCCTGGTGGGGGACGGAGAAAATGTGCACACAGGGAAACAGCAGTGGGCTTGGGAGAGAGGAAGGAGTCAGAAAACGTCCCACAAAAGTGAAATAAGCTAGAAACTGCAATTTAAGTATCCAGAAATACAGATGTAAATATTGAAGGAAACCACTAAAAAGCTGACAAGAATGGCACTCAGAGCCAGGGAGGTATGCACAGGACTGAAAACACTGTATGTGACACCTTTTCAACTGCATATGACTTTGATAAAACATGTATGTATATATATGTAATTAAAATTAAAACGCATGTACACAAAAGAACTCCAAGGCGGGGAAATTCTCTTCTTAAAAGTAAAACTGTTAGAAGAAAAATTTTCCTAAGCGATAATCAAGCCTCAATCTACATGTGGCTTTGACAAGGAACTTAAAATCTGTCATTTCTAATTCAATGTTATAATGTATCGGACTCTAAGTCACATGACTATGACCATGGGGTTTTGACTAAGGCCAATTAGGAGAGATCACAGAATCACAGAATGTGGGGCACCTCTCCTCAGCAGAGCATTATGTCAGACTTCAGCAGGGCCCATTCTTATTCTCTCTAAAGGACCAGACACTGAATAGCTTGTGTCTAGTGGTCTCTTTCACACTCTTCATTTCTACAACTTCTTATATAAAAATCAATCTTCCCTCACAACAGTCCTATGAAAATACGCCATAGGATGGATCTGGCTCACAGGAAGTAGTTTGTCAACCCCTTAATAGAGAAAATACAGGGTCGGTATTATAATATTGCATAATTGCCCACCTGAAACATTTCTTACTCAGTTAATACCAGCACAGGGTGAGGTTTAAGTTAAAGGTTCGCAGATGATCTAGATCTTGGTGACACTGATGAAATGACATGTTTCAATTAATCTTGTGCTCTTTTTGCATTATCACATTTCATTCAAAGTTAGTGTTTTAAGGGAAAAGCAAAATGTACTGTTTATTACTGTGTTTATTAAACAAAGTCTTTATGTTGTAGAGATAAACATGAGACAAGGGAAGAAATGACATGGCATCTGAGGTTTGCGTCATGGTGACGGGGTCAGGGAGGAAGGGTGGTGCAGGGGAGCTAACAGCAATGGCTGAAATCAGGTGATGGGTACATGGGAGTCATTATACTGTTCTTCCTACTTCTGTGTATTTTTTAAAAATTTCATAAGACTTTTTTTAATGTTTAGGACAAAAAAAAGGAACAAATACCAGCAATGGCAAACAGATACCTGCTTACAAAAGAGCTGAATGAGTATTATCCCAGGTTGTGGGAAATAAAGTGTAATTAATCCCAATTTTTTAAATGTTGTAATTAGATTTTGGGAGAACCTGGATTTTCCAAAGAGAATGACAATGGAGGCTGATTTTCTTAACAAGATTAGACAGAGGGAGCCCCTCGGTACTGCTGAATGCACTGCAACACACAACACTAAGTAAATGTAAGATATTTAAAATTGCATATATGGCGAGAGGAAACTAATTACTACCAGCTCTCCCTCAAAAGGAAAATTATTTTTGGATGATCCTTTCCCTGTATCTTGAAAAAATAAAGCTGCAGGGTACATTCCCAGAAAAGGTATTATAAATTGGACTTGATTTTCCCATAGAAACCATATTTTAAAAAATTACATCCAGAGCAAGGTACTAAAAACCAACTTATTACAGAAATGACCACCAATGCTCTATTTAACTACCATTTGAAATGAGTCCATCAAAATGTTCACTGAAATAGGTAAATACAACAGTTCAAGATTACCAACTGCATAAAATATTTCATAAATTACATTGTTTAATGTATAATTTATAATCCGTTTTCATGGTGAACAAATGATAAAGCTGGAAGTTTTCTGTTTGAGAGTGTCATCTCATCACACTCAGTGACATTGCTATAAATACATAAATGTAATAATATGGTTGACATGAGCTTACCCTTAAAGTATATTTCAGAATTTCTCATATGTGGCTTTAAGGGTCAAAAGTATCAAAGCTTTGGTTGACTGACAGATAAAATACATAGCACACTGTGGTAGAAAATTTCATGCAAACAAAGTATTTTCATATTGGTCATTAATCTAAACTGAAGTTTTATATCAGTGGCCCTCACATAAAAAACAGTGTTTAAATGTTTTCTACTAGTTTTCAGAAACTAAAATGATTGATCTTTTCACAAACAGAAACCAGACCTCCCTAAATGAAGCAAATGTTGCACTAAACCATTTACTGAATCACTAGATTGAGATTTCCCCCATGGGCCCCTTCCCCCGAGGCTACAACTGTCCCCCTCAAGGCAGGTGTTAGGCTTTTCCCTTTCCTTCTGTTCATGCACTGAAGTCAGCAGCCGGAAGACCCCCTGGGTGGGCTGGGAAGGTCAGGGGGACATTGTCAGGCTGACTTGCTGCCGCAGGCCCCATGACTGGCTGAACCCGAGTGTGTGCACATCGCTCCGCTGGCCTTGGGCTGAGGCCTGCTCCACTGTCAACACCAGAGCTCACACCTCTTCACCTCTAGCCTCCCACCATGGCCTCAGTTTCCTAGTCACTATAATAACCTGCCATGAAACATGAAGCTCCAGCACCCCTCAAGATAAGCTTACCTGGCGATGTGATCACAAATGCCATGGCCTCCGAACTTTGCAGTCTCTACAGGGGCTCCTGGCTTTCGCACCATGACTTTGAGAGTCAAGCGCTTACCCTTCACGCCAGCAGCTTCAAGTCGTCTTTGAATTTCTTCTGAAAGACTCAGAAGAAAAGATTCTGCTTCTTTTGGCTACAAAAAGGCATAAAAAACTCTCATTTATTTGCCTATACACCTAATAACTCTTCAAGTATTTTAACTTTCAATATTAAGTATGCACATTATTTACTATCCTGCTAAGCATCTGTTAAATACAAAGATTCTACAAGCTCTGGGAGTAGCAAGAGTTTTAGGACTTCATTTCAAGCATCAGGAGTCTGTGGTCTAGCTGACGACACAGCACTATGTGAGGACATAAAGGACAATACGAGGTGACACCCATTCGGTTAGTACCTGGGTAAACCTTATTCCGTAGTTGATCTCGGCTGAAACAGATTTTCTTTCCTTTTCAGTTCGAACTGGTCTATCATCCAAACCACGGCAGAATCTATAAAGCATCTGACCTGTTTTGGGACCAAATTCTTTTTGGAGTTTTGCCATGGTCATATACTGCAGATCTCCACAAGTTTTAATTCCCAAAGATGCCAATTTGGATTCCATCGAATGTCCAACTCCTAGAAAAGAGGATATAGATATGTATATACATATATATAGTTCTTTAATTCTGCACAAAAACTATTAAAAACAATTTATCAATATGAAAGAAATAACTATCATTCATACATATAACAATTTAAAATAATGTCCCTTGAAATTTTTAAGTGACATAACTGAAGCATCTCATAGATTAAAAGAAATTTTTAGCATATATTATGCTAACAAAGTTATTTCTATAATCATTATCTCACTAGAGGTGAACCGGGATTTCTTAAATATGTATGAGTAAATAAGTTCTCAAAAGAATGCAAGTTTTACTTCTATCAAGGTTTCTATCTTACAAAATCAACTAAGTTACAGGCCTGTTAAAACGAGTCTACAGTATGGCTTACAGACATGCTTGGAGGCTCACAGATGTTAGGGCTCCACTGTGATGACACTGACAGCCAAACTTTACAGTAGCGTTTCGACCACGTTTTCTTTAAAAGGGAACTAGAATAAGAACTTATGACACAGGCCCAAAACCGAAACTATCAATTGTCATCATACTGGACAAAGTATTACCAGTGACCTGGGGATGAAGGTTCATTAAGCAAGCAGAGTGGTAGTGGGGAAATACAGAGTTCTTTTATCAAAAAATGTGATCTACCTTTAAAGGTGGGACCCTGCCTACAGCTGGGCCAGCAGGCAGCAGCCCCAATGTCACACTCCTCAAGACCCAAGGCTGGGCCTCACCCAAAGGGTGCTCATGGGTTTGGTCACTCTCAGTCTGCCCGAAAGCTTAACAAAGGTGTCCACATCCAGGGAAGGTGTTTAAGAGAGTAGCCTAAGGAAACCAAACTTATTGGAACAGTCTCTACACCATCAAGTCAATCTTTCACATCAGTAAGGAGAAGACAGTCCTGGCCTCCTGCAGGGTCCTATCAGACACCTCAGACTGAAGTCTGACACCTGCCTGTCATGTTGCTGTTATTCACTGAGCGTCTCCTGCCCGCTGAGTGTCTTCAGTGGCAAGAACAAGCAGCTGAGTCCAGCTCTCCCAGGAGACCCGCAGCAGTGATGCATGGCAGGAGGTTAGGAGGCTGTCCCCTCCACAAAAGACCTACAGTCTTGCACATAGGTGAGACAAGCTTAAACCAAGAGAAGTCAGATAAGAGGTTTCGAGGGCACTGCCTCCCATTTGTTTTAAAGTTCAAGTCAGAGCAGAGAACAAGTAAATGCAGTGCCCAACTCAGCAGCAACACAACCCCTCAGACAAGCAGCATCGCAAAAAAGGTGAGACCCTAAGTGGAACCTGTCTGAGGTTTTTTCAAAGTGGGGAAGGGACACTCAAAGGAAAGGACAAATCCCACACTGGGTTGGCCAAAGTCAGAGAGAAAAGAAAGAATGATACTTAACACGGCCATTCTCAGGCAAGGCTCTCTGTCTCTATCTTGCCACCTGACTCATGTGATAATGACCTTTCCTGACAGACCGGAGAGCTGACCTGTTCTTATTTGCAAAGTCTGCAAGAGGCAGTAACAACCCTGGAGAGGGAGAGAGGGAGAGAGAGGGAGGGGGGAGGGGGAGGGGGGTGATTACTCCGTGAAGGCCCACGATGCCTCCCTCTCTTTTCTTCTTTCCTGTGTCTTCTGCTGAGCCTCTCGTTTTCCTTATGTACTTTTCTTAACTAGACTGCTCCGCTTTCTATCTGAAGATTGGATCTCAACAGAAGGGAGGGAGAGAGAGGTGGGGGCGGGGAGAGAAAGACAGGAAGAGAGGGAGATAGAGGAAGAGAGAGAGGAAGAAAGAGAGGGAGAGATAGGAGGAGAGGGAGAGGGAGAGAGAGAGTGTGTGTGTGTGTGTGTGTGCGCGCGCGCGCACGCACGCGCGCGCTGGGGTGGGGCAACTTATAATTTTTGAGAGTATTCTTAAGTACAATGGACAGAACTATTCACTAATAGGCACAAAAGAAAGGCTATTACATTGACCATCATCAAATTAGCCACAATCAACCTGATCTAACTGCACTGTCCCTCTAGGAAAGAAGAAAAGGTTGTCTAGTGCAGTGGGTAGGCCCAGAGTTGAGTGTCTCAGGAGGGAAGCCTGCAGGTGGTCAGCCTCTGAGCCTGTGACCTTGACTGGGGTGGAGAAGTCAAGCTTGGAGTCAGCAATGAACCCTCAAGAGGGTGGCTAGTTTAACTATAACTGTCGTACTGGAAGGGGGCACCACTAAGCAGAAAAGTCACAGGGCTCGAGGCTCACACTGAATGTGGTCACTTCAAAAGGGGAAAGCCAAGAAATATGGCAGCTCAGAAGCAAGTGTCCGAGCTGGAGAGAGGAAAAATAAAGACATGGAATCTCCTGGTCAAGCCACTGGGACAAGGACTTGGCATCTGTCCTTGATCGAGAACTGCTATTCTAGACCAGAAGTGACTGATATCTCCTCCGTAGCATCCAGAACTTGATAGTCCAGCAGAGACGCAGAAGGAAGAGTAAAGTGTTAAGAAAGTTTTCACTATCTAAATGAGCACTGTCCCACAGAACTTTCTGTGATGATGAAGATATTCTGTGCTGTTCAATGTGGCACTTGCCACTCATGGAGACAGAGTGCTGACATGTGGCCAGTGCACCTGAGGAACTGGGCTACAATTTTAACTTCAGTTAATCTCACTAGTGTCACCTGGCAGTGGCTGCTGTCCTAGGACAGTGTAGATCTTTAGGTCCACCTACACATCCATGGTGTTTCTCTGAGAATGAAGAGACAGACACATAGCCTGGGCGCACAAACCCAGCATGGGCTAAACAAGGCACAGAAGGCCTTACACTACGGGTACACACAGAAACAACTATCGCATTTAAACAACTGTTGGGGACAATCCTGCCGGTCATTAGATAAAAAGATCTCGTTAGGTGACCTATCTGTTAGCCTGACATATAACTGTTACTATGTGGAGTCTCCTTCAACAGACTTACTAGGCTGTTTTTCTTTCTCGTAGCTACGGTGACTGCGCAGTGCTGTGCTCAGCACACTCCGTGCTCGATAGACACTCAAGGGCTCAGCAGCCAGAGAGTGCTTGTGGGGGACGAGCAGCAAGGTATGGTAAGCCCATTTCTCCTGGTTTATTGGTTAGAGAGCCAAATTTCCTCAAAGCACCATCTATAGGATATTAACAGATATTACATATTCATCTTCAAATGTCTTTGGGAGATTGCTAATTGCGAACACGGAAATACCACGAAGGGCTCCCACACTTACAGGAAACCCATTTTTAAAGGAACAGCTTGTGCTCTTAGAGCACATTTTGGGAAAAGGTGGATTACAATGCCATCTTCAGGACAGGGATAACATATCTGCAATGTTCAAATTCATTAAGAATTGGCGGATTTTATAAAAGTTAAGTTTAAATATATGAAAATCATACAATTTTCAGTGACTACAACCTGGTTTTGAAGGTGAGGCCACATGAGAAGGTGGCTTGCCAGAGGAAGCCAACCTTGCTGCCTCCTATCTTTCAGACATCCTTTAGGGAATTCAAAGCTGTGCCTCAGAACTCACCCAGGACACGTAACCTCACACTTGCCCTTCAAGAAATAAAGTCCCTCCAACCAGGAAACAAATAAAGGTGAAAGGTCAAGGAACTAAAAATTCTTCATTTCTGTGTAAAACAACAACAACAACAACAACAAAAAATCCTACAAAAATGATTCATCTGGAGATGGTTTTATGGACTAAACAGCTGTTTCCTCGAAATTCTTAAGTTAAAACCCTAATACCCAGTATCTTAGAATGTGAACTATACAATCGAAACAGGGCCTTGGAAGGTAAAATGAGGTCATGAGAGGGCCCTAATCCACTATGACGGGTGTCTCTACAGGAAGAGATTAGAACACAGACAACTCAGTCTTGGACTCCAGCCTCTAGAATCTTGAGAAAAATTTCTGCTGTTTAAGCCAGCTAGTCTGCGGTATTTTGTCATGGTAGCCTGAGCAAACTAAAAGAGATAGCTAGTATAATACACCTGAATTCAAATTTCAAATGCAGCTTTAAATATACTGGTTCGTTTCTATATAAAACTGCAATATGATGTGTTATTAAACTGTTTAAATCGTGTTGTCTAAAAGGTACAGTGAGTCCTCAATGTCATTGATAGGTTGGAAACTTTGACTTTAAGCAAAATGATGTGTAACTAACTAGCTTTACCCTAGGCTAATTGACAGAAATGAGAGTTTGGTTCCCATCACATTTTTCCAATCAGCAAATTTCTAAACACAGACCCAAAACACTTTTAATATTAAACACTGAAATAAATGTGAGTTCTGCATACATTCAAGGGAGATGAATAAAAACGAGTAAGATCATTGTTTTCCAAACCCCCAATTCTCCAGCTCAGGGTCACAAGTGGCCAGAGCCCGTCCTGGCAGCTCAGGGCACCACGGGGACCCACCCTAGATGGAACACCCTCCATCGCAGGACAACCCACACACATCCTACTCATTCAGATAGGGACAATGTAGACACACCAAGTCCCCTCATGTGCACAGACAGTTCTGGGATGTGGAAGGAACCTGGAGTCCCCACAGAAAACTCATGCAGACCTGGAAGGACATGACAGCTCCTCACAGATAGAGGCTCTGGTTAGGAATCCATTATTTTTCTCATCACCGTTGTAATAGACTGACATTGAATGAAATGTTAGTCAAGGAGGTGCTGTAAGTTGCTAGCTTGTTTTTATAAGGTTAATTATTCAAATTTAACCTCAAATAGGCCACCAAAATGTCATTTCCATATTTCTGACACTAATACATTTTTCGAGTTATTTATTAGGGGGTCAGGAAGCTTTAAGACTAATCCACTGTAAAATGGCATTTGGGCAATTTATTATTTTACGGCCTATAATACAAATTTCTTAGTTTAGACACACTTTTATTAGGCTTAAGAATATACATCTAAAAATAGCACTAAATCGACTTTAAACAAACAAATTCATTCAAAAAACCTTTTGTCAAAAATGTACTGCCTTGAACTTTCCCCACCACAAATACACAGGAGCTTTATGAAGCTAAGACAAGCTGCTTTACAACAAACAGGAGAGGGTCATCTGAAACAGTTTCGGGATTGCTATATGGCTTAGAAAGAGGCATCTACCATAGAAAGCGAGTCTAAAAATTTAATAATTGTGAAATGAATTGTCCTACACAAAAAATTACATCTCTTCAAGGCCCTTTTAAAAGGCAACTATTTTTCAGTTATAATTAGTTATATTTGATATTCCCATGGAAAGATTTTTACATGTTAGGTTAGTCAGCCACACAGTAACTACATGAAAATGCAAAATAACCAAACATCCTGCCCCTTAGGCAAGAAAGATATCATGGAAGTTTTACTTCAACTTTTGAGTTAGCAGAACACAATACTTCCTTGTTAGGGTTTTATTCTTCCAAATATGATTCATACATTCTCTACTTTTAATTACAACGACTGGTTTACTAAACTCAGAAAACTATCGTTAGTCCAGCAAGATAATTTTATAGAGGACTTGATTCTCAAAATTTTATCATTGGCCTAAAAGTACGCTATTTCAATTATGATTTATTTAAAGAACCAAAGTAAATTTCATCATATTCCCTTAAAAATGATTTCTTAGAATCCCTTAATCTTGATACTTGAGAAATACTTTAAAGTAAAATACATGATAAGTAAAACTAAAATGTAACATTAAGGTGCTGATAATTGAATTGAGAAGATAGTCACTGAAATTCCAAATTTTTTCATGGCACTCAAAAAATAAACAAAAATTTTAATTCATGTTTTGGAAAAGAGAGGCACATTACAGAACTTTTAGCACTAATAAATGTTTCCAATAAATAAATGTTAAAGAAATTTTGTATTTACCTGGTAGATTAGTAACTAGCTGACCTCTGATAAAATCATCAACTTCTTCTGGTTTTAGGTGGTACTGGCCATCTGGTTTTGCTTTTCTAGTTGCCATTCTAGCCAGGAGAATATTAGAACCTAAAAAGTAAAAAAATAAAAAGCTGTTCAAGAAATATTCACAATTATTTTTAAAAATTTCTTAACAAAGATATCTACAGACAGGTTAGTGACCAAATTTCGAAAAATAATAAACATAATTAATTTGCAATTTTGATCACTTCAAACACAGTACGAACGTGGCAGAATTTTGTTAAGTGTCACAGATTATAACGAGCACAGTAAATGGACAGAGGTTAATCTTGGTTCCAAAATAAGTGCCATTTCAACGTCTCTTGCCCAGGGTAAAGGAATGGAGGAGGCAGGCCTAACGACTGTGATTTATAGGCAGTGAGGGCAATGATTGGAAATTAGTTTGTTTTACCAACCAGTGGATCCAGGCTCTGAAGGGACATAAAGCCGAAGGAATGCTATCAGACTGGGAAAAAAAGAAAACCCAAAGGGCCAGAATTCTCACCTATGAATAGAACACCTGTAGTAGAAACTGAGGGTCTGAGAAGCTTAGAAACAAAAATAGTGAGGTCCAAGGTGTGGGTGTGGACACGAAGCTACAGTAGAGTGGAGGAAAAGGAACCGAGAACTGGAAAGACATCTGGATCAGAGAAGCTAGGATATCAAGTGAACTTCTGGGTAAATAACAACATCTCCAGAAAATATGGAAGACTTACATAAAGGACATGTCTTGGTTTTATGGAAGACTTACGTAAGAAGTATGTGTTTACCTACAGTAAATATATAGGTATCTACGAAGAGAAAAACTTCTAGACAGCCACAACATAATAAAAGTGGTGAGTTCTGAAAGAGAAAAGGGGGCTGAGGAGTGCAGATATCATGTGGGGTTTTTGTTTTAATTATTGAACTTAAAAGAATGTATTCATATTGTCATACTTGAAATTAAAAATAAGTACAATGAAAAACAAAAAACCTCAGCCCATGCCCAATACTGGAATACAGAAGGTAAGTCCCAAATGGGAGATGAAAAGGAACTGCAGGTCTTACATGAGGGAGTAAGCAAGTGGGCTGGCTGGTAACTGGAGGGATACTATGAGTGCATTAACCACGTTTCTATTTTCTGTACCTCATGATATTTCGACATCCTGAAATCTTGCTGGCCAGGGAGAGGCCCCCCTCCCAGGGAAAGCTAATTTCTAGAGAGTGAACAACTTTACTTGGAAGTGTGCCTCTTACATGCAAGCCAGCCACCCCCAACTCTCTCCTTATCAAGCTCACATAAAAAGCCAATGTTCATTCTGCCCCAAATCATCCCAGGGCCAGGTACCAGGCAACTAGAGGTCAGCCTGACAGCCCGAAGACACCAGAATTACCTAAAGTGGTCAATCCTAAACTGCTTACTCTGCTCTCAGCCTGCCCCTCACTCCTGCTTCTGCCTCCCAACCAAAACCTGCCGCTTCCCCATGTGGCCCGCAAGAGGTGTGGCATGTCCCCTCATCTTCTTGGGAGTGTTAAGTCATAAACATCTTCCTCCAATAGCACTGGCCTCTGTGTCATCGCTCAGTTATCTCCATAAACTAAGATCCCAAGGGTACCAATGAGACAGGGAACTTCAGAAGAAGGGTTTTTGAAAGAGAATGGAGGAGTAATGGTTAGAAGTGACAATGGGAAGCTAAACGAAAAGTTCTCTTTCCTTTCTAAGCCTGTGGCATACAGAGCATGGCAGGGACAAACTGGACCTGCTTCAGAGAACAGCAATGAAAGAGGGACCTTGGCAAGAGGTGCTCAGAAGTCTCAGAGGAAGAGGTGTTTCAGGGAAGTTGAGGTGTGAGGGAGGGCTCCAGAGAGCACAGCTGAGGGGTCAACAAAGGAAGGATAAACAGGCAGGAGTAACAGAGGAAACAGAGTGTAAGGCTTAAAAAGGATAATTGGTGGGAGGGACAGCACTATCATTGAGGGCACCTGTCACTGAAGCGACTTCCAGAGCTGCGAAGGAAGGCAGGGCCACTGGGCATTCCAGAAAGAGGAAGTTCAGAAAGTAACTGAATTACAACAGACTTAATAACACTCCATACCCCCAGCCCCAATGTTTTAAAACACGACTTCTGTGCATTTCTGAAAATACTGCTTACAAATATTGAATTCAATTCTCCCCATTTTTGAAGAATAAGTTAAGAAATATTCCACCTTGTTTATTCCAAAAATATTATCAACCATTTACTGGCATTTCTAACACTTTTATCTCATGTATTGCACAACTATGAGCAATGCTATGAACTGCTTTTCAAGAGGCCTTATGCAGTAAGGCAATAAAAACAAAATCTAAAAATCACTCTTAAAAGCTACGTGATAGTCTGTGATCCCAAAGCAAAGCTGTAAGTAAAGTGGATGGTATGAGCTGAGCTGGTACTGACCAATTCCAACAGAGGCAGCACATTTAGTCTGGTCTTTGATTTCCATGCGAACAGCATTTGCAAACTCATCAGGAGTCAGTCTGGTCTCGGCAAGGATTTCAGTGATGTCTACCAGGGCTTCGTCACAACTGACTGCTTCAATGTTATGTGTGTAGCTATCAACACAAAGCAAAGGCAGTGAAGCAAAGCCACTGGGTGCTATCCACACAGACACACAAACATTGCGAAATAGTCTTCCCATGGTGTCTTTCTTGAAGATTTCCTCACAAGACTTTAGCTAAAAAATAGCATTTTCATTAAACCGTCCCAAGTGCCATTATTTAGTCACCTGACTTTTAACTGCAAAGTTAACTAATTAACATTTTTTTCCATATTATCTACCAAAAAACACAGCAAAAATCATTCTAATTCCTCTATACTGAGAATGTCTTTGTAAACCTCTGAATAGTTGAAAACTGGTGGGTGAGTTAGAACTGTCATAACATTAAATCTAAAAAATTTTCAAACATGGTTTACCACAATCTTTAAGGAACAGAAAAACCACATAAATCAGTTAAATAAGTAACTAACAATTAAGTAGCATTCACTGTAGTAGGCCTAGAGATACAGAATATGTTGGCCAATCGCCCCAAATGCCTCCGTTAAAGGACACCATTTACATTCCATGCATCTGGAAACAGTCTGGGCTTTGGTTTTTGTTTTTTGGTCATGACTGACCCATGCAAAGGACTCATTTTAATTAGCTGGAGAACAGGAGTGCTGCCATGTGGCCCCAATGCTAATCACATACGTGGACCACAAATGGGAGGCCACCAGAGAGGCCTCAGGATCAAAATGGATCTTTGGTAATCCACTTGATAACAATACTAGGAGGGACAGTCTTCGTCTTCCACTCACATCTACTGCAGGTAACAAATCAGACTAATTAATATCTGTATTTATCCAAGAGAGGAGTGCTTTGTTGGTGCTTAGAGGGAGACATCTGTGAGAGCAGAAGGGTTTACCTGAGGAGGACTTCTGCTTCCAAGTGGAAGCTACCCTAGGGCATGGACCACACAGCTGAGGCAGCAGTCTCCCGGGGGTAGGGACACAACACAGTGAATGCTCCTCCCCCGCATAAGAGCTGCATGCCGCTGGGATCATCTCGCCAGACTAGAATCTACCAGGACCAGCGCATGTGTGGCTCTCCCACAAATCTTCCTACCCTCAGCTTCAGGCTGGTTGTCTGCTATGGAATCCGGAACACAGGAGGGCCACTGCCCAGCTCAGTCACCCACTCCCCACTCTCATTTGGATGCTGCTACTGTCTTCAGCTTTGGAACAGATTTAAAAAAGTGCATTTTTCACTTGGTACCAATGCCCCCATATCTGGGTCTCGAGGACAGCTGTGATTACAGGTGGCTCATCATCTAGCACCCAGTCCCACATACTGATGCCAGTAACTGCACGTGTCCCTTTCTAGTTTCTCTCCTGCTAAAACTAAGCCCCATGAAGGCAGAGATTGGATCTTATTTTTCTCTGCAGGACTAGCAGCATCAACAGTCCCCTGTATTAATACTCAATAAACAGGTATTGGAAAGAATGCACTTAATCTAATAAGAAAGTCGAGGAAGAGGTAAAGCTAAAGGCAAGAAGATTCTCTTAGAACATCGATACAGCCCAGAGGTCGACAAGCCTGATTTGGTTAACGACGTAATGGGACACAGCCAGGCACACTCACTGATATGTGTCTGTGGATGCTTTCACTCTATGCAGGAATACAGACCTCACACAGCCCTTGGTAGGGAAAATGTGCT